CTAACCCCGAAACCTGCTCATGAGGCGCTGGTAACGCGGCAGCCCCATCACTCCACCATCTCTCCCCTTTGCATGTCCACATGTGCATGAAGTGTGCATTTCAGCCTGTGATCAGGGGATCAATAAAGTATATCTGTGATCAGGGGATCAATAAAGTATATCTTCTTCTTCTTCAATCACAGTTGAGCAAGCCACGGTCAGAACCTCAGTCAACTTCCTCCTTTCCTGTACTGTACTATGTGTTTTGCTAACATTAGCTGTCAGATGTAACTAGATAGCCAACGATTAATGTAGATTAGCTAGCTACTTAGCTAGCGTTTTGGTCTGTAGCAAAACACTAGCGTACTAGCTTACAAACATTTTGAAACAAGAGCAGCCAATGAAAGCAGCTCAACTCACAGTACGTCACCACTGCTGGCTGCAAAAGCCACACAATGGCCATAATGCCTCAACTATTCCCTGAGTTTATCCATGAAGGGAAACCCTCCTCCCATGGTCCCTTCCTGTGCTTTTATTTATTGTGTGATTGGCCCAATCTTCAGTCTTTATTTTGCTTATTATTATTTTTCTTCTTCCGTATATGTTTTCGATGGTTATAATGCTCACATTTCTGCAGATGCAGTTGTTCACATATAAAGCCTATTAGTGTCATACTATCTTTCAGAGACGTTATAGGTCAGTGCTGTAGATACAGCTCAAAGGTCTGTACTATCTTAAAATTATAGTTTTAGTGAAGTCCAATAATTTGACACTAATTGTCTTTTAGAGACAATTAAGATTTGTGAAGATTTGAGTCCATTTGACAATCATAGCTGGATAGTTACTGAGGGCAGGATGGATACAGGACAGAGTTCAGTGCTATAGATACAGAGCATAGGTCAGTGCTGTACATAAATTGCAGAGGTCAATGCTCTTGATACAGGTCAGAGATCTGTACTGTTTATGTGATTTATATAATAGTAACTAATGATGAATTTGTTATATAGGGCAGTGCTGTAGATACAGGGCAGAGCACTATAACCATTCGGTTACCAAGGCATTCGTTTCCGTGTCCATTTTGAAGTATATCAGGGCTTTAAGGGTGAACACAGACACACTGCAAAGTAAAATAATGGTCACTTCTGTCTGCAAACTCATTCTTCCGTCAATGCTCGACTGCAGCTGAGGGTTGGACCAATACACATTACTGCTGACAGGGTCGCAATCTTTGGCCCCAACAACTGCACGTCAGATTATAATATTATAATAACCTGTAGACTGACTGTGTCTCCTGGCTCTGGTCCTCCAGCGGACATCCTCGTCTACATCAATGACAGCTGTGTGCTGGGTCGCTCTCATAAAGAGGTGGTGGAGATGCTGAAGTCAGTGCCGATGGGTCAGAGCGTGGACGTGGTGCTGAGGAGAGGATACCCGATGCTTTATAACCCCGATGGATGTCCAAAACAGAGTCTGGAGACGGTGCGGTTTATTTAGTCTAATTATTTTGCATGAACAATGACCCTTTATAAATCTCTAACCTTGAATCTGACTTTAATCCTTTCAGCAGCCACAAACTTCCAGCGAGCCCCCCAACCCCCCCAATATGAATCGTGGCCTGACACACCTCACCTACAGCCGAACACTCGACGCCAATGGCAGTACGCCAGGTCAGGAACAAGTCAAATCAGTCCACAAGCAGCAGAAATAATAAAGAAAATGCTTCTTATATATACGTTGAATTTTTAACTCCTTCACTCTGGAATCCAGGACTGTGCCAAACCCCGCCCTCCTACTCCTCTCCAATGACAAATGGGCTGACAGGCCCGCCAACACCCACTTCCTCTGATGCCCCACTGGGTCCGCCACCTCTTCCAGAAAGGACAGCAGCCAATCACAGTGACTCTGATGGCGGCGTGTCCAATGCTGGAACACGAAGGTGAGAGGAACTCCAGTGTTAGCATTAGCAGTGTTAGCAACGAGTTTTACAAGTAGGCTTATTAAAAAAACATATTTCTACTAGCACAATTTTAATGCTGATGATGATCAGTGGTAGTTATTCTGAATCAAAGATGGTATATTATGGCGTCTCAAAAGGAAGCTGCTTGGGAACCTCTTTGGACTCTCTGACTTGGACTTGACTAGTCCTGGTCTTGGATTTGTCAAAGGTGGAAGCACTGGTTCCCACATGTTTTCTCACTACAACATTTCTGGTATTGTGACATCTCTACAACCAGGGTACTAATAGTAGTTGGAGTATCAGTAATAATTTACTTGTGGTGATACTTGTGAAATCTTTTATTTTGCTGTAAAACATGTTTCTTGTCTCTCCCCTGTGCTCCTCCTCCTCTTCACAGGTCTTCTCTGATTCGCTACAACAGCAGCACTCTCCCCGCCCTCTCCTCCTCCTCCCTCCTCCACCATCAGAGCTCCAAATCCTCAGAGAGCGACTTGTCCACGTCAACACTCCCCATCTCCTCCTCCACACTCCCCATCGCCTCCTCATCCTCCCACACTCTGTCCAAACTTCCCCTCTCTCAACCAGAGACGGGTCTCCTCCAAAATTCTACCAGCCCCACTACTGCTAACAACCCCACCTCCTCCTCCACACCTTCTGGTGCTCCTGTGCAGCGCCCACTGATGCCCCAGACTACCCTCGCCCTGACCCCACCCAGAGAGGTCCCACCTTGCGGCTTTAACGGTTGTCCAGCCAATCACCAAGCACCTTCCCCAGCGTCCAGAGGAAACCCAGGGCTGGTGCTTCCTCTTGGTGCGGGGTCTCCTGCGTCAACTCCTGGTGGGGAGCTCGTACCGGTGGCTCTCGGATGCAGCGAGAGTGGAGGGCTGGGGTTCAGTGTAACGGCAGGGGGGCAAGGAGGTCAGCTGGCGGTGGTAAGGCGGGTCTGGGATCGAAGGCACTGCCCCTCTCTGCAGCCAGGGGATGCTATTGTGAAGATCAACGGAGCAGACGTACAGAGCCTCAGCTTCTCCCAGGTAAGAGATTATCCAACCAGTCAGGGTCAAGATCGTCTCATAAAGCCTCCAGAATCTGAGCTAGCTATCCAGGATTTCAATCAGTGTCTGTGCCATTTTTTTTTAACGACGAGGGTTTCAGCAGCAACTATTTCAAAGAGGTTCTTATTGTTTCTGGAAGGAGAGTTTTAAATTATGTTACTTTAAAGGCTTCAACATGTTTTAAAGAAAATAGCATACAAAGTGTGGTCCAACCACATCTGCAGTCCAGTCCCAGTTCCTACAGGAAGTCAACAATTAATGCAAATTTAACAAATTCCTTTGAATTCTGTGTTGATTCAATCTTTTTATTACAAATACAAATTTAAAAACAATTCCAGATGCAGTACACAGGTGGCTCTAATTTCAAGATTAACTCCAGTCCGCTGTGTGCTGAGAAAGCCTCGCATATTGAAATATTGAGTCTTTTCAAGCTCCTTCTTCCCCGAGAGATTTTAGAATCCAAACTTCAATGAAGAAGGGAGTGGCTGATGTTCTTGCTGCTACATTTTAGCTAGGCTACTGACTACGAGAGCTAACGTTAGCAGCAACCAACTAGCCAGTAGCTACACTGCTTCCTGCAACTGTGTTTTACGGAAGCCAGAAAGTCAACATTTCCATCAGCGAAGAGTTACGTTTTTAAAAATCGATTTATGAAAGTTGTGAATTGATTTTGATTTTGATTTTCACTTTCGGCGAACTTTTCGCGTTGTATTTGAACTCCTCCTCCTAGGGAATTCATCGGATCTGCTTCAAAATTGGTCAGTACAGTCAAAGTATCTTGCTGATTAAAAGTTGTGCTATTTGTGTACGTACGTTGAAGGGCGGGGGTCTGTTGGCGGTGCCCGGTCAAAAGTTTGGCCGGGCCTGAATTCGAATATCAAACTGTTTGGAGCCATTTCCAGCATTTAAGGGCTTCTGTTTTAACTAACTCCTCCTACAGATTTTATCAGATTGACTTCAAATTCAATCACTGCAATCTAGACACATTGGTGATCAAAAGTTGTGCTATTTGTGACTGTACGTTTAACCGTGTGCCCGTGACGACGTGTCGAATTCCACCGATTGGCCATAAAACAGATAGTACTCCTATCTTCAGTGTACAGTCCCACCCTGAACACGTCCTCACAACTTCAGTGTACATGGTCCAATGTCAATGAAACTTCAGTTTGATAACCGGGTCCGCCCATGAACACGTCTACATGACAATATTCAGCATATTAGTGATTACGCCACCTACTGGCCAACAGGAAGTAAGCGCTGCATAGCAAGTTTGATCTGATTTACGTGAAATTTGTTGAGTTGCGTGGAGTGCGAGGGCCCGTTCATCGCTGCTTGCAGCTTTAATTTGAGAGATGTTTCAGATATTATGTCTGCTTTCATTGATCTAGATGACTTTCAGATAAGTCTCAAACTTAATAATGAGTGTCAGTTTCAAGGTGTTGGATTGTCAATTACAGAGTACCTTAATTTGTATATGTTGTTTTGAGATATAAATGCATTAGTTTAATAGATGAAAATCTATAAAATATGCAATAATAAAGAAGTAACAATTTAGGAGAAGGAGCCTTGGGTAAAAGTCAGTATGTTTTTTTAACAAAGTTATACAGGGAATGACTAGAATTTCCTCTGATAAACCCAGCTCATTTATCTGGAGTTGAGGCATCAGGTGTTGTGCTGGCCTGATCATTTCTCACTGAGGGAACAAAGAAATTCAAAGAGAAGAGGAAGGCGTAGGTTGAGATAAGCTCAGTACAAGGACACTTAGAGGGATAAACAGGGTTAGATGAAATGGTGGATGGCCTCATTCCAAAAAGACATAAGATATGAGTTCAGGAAGAGAAGAGAGAAGAACAAAGGAGATGAAAACAAGTGATACACTTTAATAGAGAGCTGCAAACTTTTATCCTTTGTAGTTGAGCCGCTGCATAGTCCTGCCATACAAGCACCCTTGTTTTAATACAAATAAATAGAATAAAACAATGATCTAATTCCATGACAAGCGCAGCCTTAAAATCCCCAAATATCCTCCCATCTGACTGTTGATTTTTAAAATGAAACAGTCAGCTCTGATACATTTCAAAACATCAATACTAAGCTGGGATGAGGGTTTTGAATTTGGGAGTGTTACTGGCTGCTATACAAACTATGTGTGAAATGTGTGCTGCTGTGTGTCAAGCCAGACCTTCTGAAATCAAGTGTTGCCTGTCTTCTCACAACTAATTGACTTCCTTGTTTAGCAGTTAAAACCTTCTCTATTTGATCTGTACACCTTTGAAGTCAATAGTCAGATTTTAGTGGACATATGTGGAATGGAAGCACAATTTAAAAAAAGAGTTAGTGGTTGACAAGTGAACATTGACTTGGTGATTTGCAGGTCAGAGGTCAAGGTTCACTCGTGAGCTTCTGAAATAGGGATATCAAAACAAGTATGTCTTTATGTGATCTTATTTGGATTGATGGAACAGGCAAAGATGCACAAAGTAGCAGCTAATTTATAATAACTCTAGGGCAGAAGAACAAGGTCGCGTTTTTACATAACTCCAACAAAGTGTCTCTGTTCCTTATTAATTGGTTCCTGTGAGTCTCCAGTTAACTATGGTTTTAGGAGTACCACCCGTGCAGGAGAGATAAATCTACCGCTCTTGTGACTTTAACATGGATGATACATTTCCTGCTACCTAAAAAGGAATCTCTGCTAGAGTACAAACAACCTAAAGAACTATAACAGGAGACAGTGTAACTGTTTACGATTAGGTTTAAACTGCACTAAATATGGATGAAGACTGAAACATTTGAATGCCTCGGTTGCAAATAACCATTTTTTTTAAAGGTCCAGTGTGTAACATTTTGGAGGCTTTATTGGCAGAAATGGAATATAATACTTAGAGGCATGTTTTCGTTAGTGTATAATGAAACCAAGAACAGTGTTTTTGTTACCTGAGAATGAGTCGTTTTTATCTAAATAAATCAATCAGACCTGAACACACTGATCCTTTAACATAAGACTATATTTTAACTTGTAATTAAGAACTGCTGTTCAGGTGTTTATATGTACCATAGCCATCCAAACAAGACAGCTTGCCAGGCTTGCAGTTTTGTGAGGCTGTATTTGGGTACTGAAAAATGTGAACCTCATGGTGGCAGCAGAGGAAATGTCAGGATCACTAAAGTCCTTTAAACACGTGTTTACAAGGCTCCTAGATACACAAGTCCATCCTGAAAAATAAATGTTGTAGCGCTGCCTGTTGCAGCACAAAGGCTGCACAATCCTCGGCCACCTTCAGCAGCCACCAGCAGTCTGTCTCATCACTCTGTTTTTGCTACCAGGCTGTCAGCCACAAAACAACAACCCATTGCTCGTGTTTAATTCTTATTGACAGCAGCAGCATACTTGTCCCTGGAGCAGCCGCCTGCCTTGCTGACATTAACATCTGAATGAGGATTAGGGAAAAAAGGAACACATTAGAATAGTGAGGGTGAGAGAGTGGCTCAGCTTTTATTTTGACAACACATTAATCACCTTTTTGTACATCCTGTTTGGGAATTTATATGCAAATTGTTTTTTACAGAGAACATTATCAGAAAAGGTTTTGAATCTGATTTGTTTTTTTTTACCCTCCCCTCCGGCTTGGAACAGCTCTCTTCTTCTGTCTGTCTGTCTGTCTGCTTTCTCCCCAAATAGTTATTTTTATCTCTGTCTCCTCAAATTTCCTTCTCTCCAGTCTTTTCCCTCCCTTTGTGCTCCTCTTCACTGCCCTTTCCTCAAGTCACAAAACCAGTGTCTTTCTATTCAAGCTGAGATGTGCAGGAATCAGTCTGAAAGGCTCCTCACATTTTGTGACAGAGGCCTGCATGGATAAAGACACAGATTTCAGGTGCCTACTCCCTACTATAAATTATAATAATAAAAAACAATAAAATCTGTTTAAATTCTTTCCTGATGAATCTTTTTCAGGCATTGCCTTATTGTCACCTTTTGTTGAAGAACATGTGTTGACTGAGCTTCAGGTGCAAAACAAACTAAATATAAATCAGTCTTTCTTTGTATATCCCTCATTCTCATTTCTTTCATTTTTCTTTCTTTCATCTTTTTTCCCCTTAACAAATATACGCTGAGATTTTCATGAACAGGATTTTCTTTTCCTTCATAATATCATTTGACGCAATGAAAAAAAGAATTGTTTTAAAGGTATCTATGTAGGTTGTGTTTAACAGTCTAATTCCAAGCAGCATTTTTATTTTTATGGGTTATTGAAGTTTGCAAACTTATTTAATAATTAAAAATGTTACCTTTTTTTACCTTTTCATTAATAAATCATCGTATATCTAACAAATGGGCTTTAGCAGTTCTTTACATCAGTCACTGCAGCTAAAATGTCAGTAACTGTCTGACCTGTCAAAGTAATGTCTGTATTTTTTATCTTTAGTTGCTGCCCCTACATCCTTTGAGGGACCATTTGGAAAGATTATTTACCGTGTGAGAGCGGCCATCGACACGCCTCGCTTCTCTAAGGACTACAAAGCCCACAGGCCCTTCTACCTACTCAACCTGCTCAACCTCAATGAGGTGCCGGACATTGAAGTAAGTTTTCAGTGCACAAACTTGCTGAGTTAATGTAGGAGTGAAAAAAGTTGTTCATATAGACACAGAAGGAGACTTTGACTTTGAAAAGCTGTAATGTATCTCTTTATTTGATCAACCTTTGTCTTGGTCGAGGCTTATTTGATTTCATGGCTGTGCAGGATCTAATCCTCCCCTGCATTACTTACTTATCATTCACTCTCCTCCCATCATGACTGTCAAGAGTTTCCTGGTTCTCTGGAACTTAGCAGGAACAGATTATCAGCGCAGCATCGGCCTAATTGTTACTAACAATGCACAAACAAACATTTATCTTGTGACTCTGTGTGTCCGCAGCATCCGAGTCACGCTGTGACCACTAAGAAGTTCAGCTACCTCCTGGTGAAGACGGGGACCCTGATGTTGAAAGCTCGCAGTGACATGAGGGGTTACATCCCTGGTCAGGTCATCAAGTTGGCCACTGAGATCCACAACAAGTCTGGGAAGGACACGGGATGTGTACTGGCCAGTCTCATACAGGTAGATTATTGAATCAGTCATAAATGTAAATGTTTTTTACCACCACATCTGGCTTTCAACAGGCTAACTTCTTGCTGCAGTGAGATATATTTGTATTATTTTGTTATTTTTCTCACAAAGTCTATTGGTTTTTCAGGTGTTGAGTACAGAACATGTGTACTGAAAAATGGACTGAGTTGGGGAAAATAGATGAAGGAGGTGGGTTGGAGTCACCGTCACATCTTTTTATGTCTGTGTACGTTTTGTCATACCAGAAAGTGACCTATAAGACCAAGCGGCCTATGTTTGACCTGCGCACCATCGCAGAAGTGGAGGGAGCCGGAGTGAAAGCAGGAAAACACGCAGAGTGGAAAGAGCAGATCATCGTCCCTCCTCTTCCTCAGTCAGCGCTGGCCGGCTGCAGCCTCATAGACATTGACTATTTCATTCAGGTCAGAGTGTGTGTTTACTTGTCTTATACTTATCTTATACTTCAATGCGACATGGCAGCTTTATGTACTTTTTCAGCTACTTCTGGTTTGTTTTCTGACAGACCAGCTCTTGACTTCTGATGAATAATATTTTTGTTTATTGTATCTATTGCCTCCGGATAGAAACCAGTGAATTATTGATGACACCTACTCATTTTAAACTCACTGTAGAGTACTGTCACACAATTAAGAATGATGAATATAATTATAATTATACCAGATCTGCTATAAACTATAACATCCAGCCTCATACAGCCTATAATTGACTATATTTGTCCCACAAGTCTGGATAGGTTTGGATACATAGTATATTTAAATTATAAGGCAGGTGTTCTTCTGTATCTTCTTATTGTCACCAAATTCCATGAAAAGATTCCTGAAACTAGTGTGTGTTCATTTTAATGAAGGAAAATGTCACCTAGAACAACAGTGTGGTTTTGATGTATTTGTAATAATAATGGAGCTCTGTAGCACAGAGGAATGAGATATATCAAACTTGGATACCCAGACAATACTGCAGAATCAATTCTTTGTTGGTTTTGGTCTTTTCATGGGATTTATTGACAATAAGGAAAACATAGAATGTCACCAGTCTTATCGCCTCCTGTCCCCACTTCCTAGGCTCATTGTTTTTGTTGAAAATTTGCCAGTTTCTATTCACAGTAGTTTATAGTAGATGAGGTTCTCACAGCTCAGAAAATCTGGTAATATAAAGTGAGGAAAAAAATATGAAGAAATGCAAATTAGCTGCTGTATTTTATTTTTTTTGTAAATAATATTTTTTTTTTAAATAAACACTGATAATGCCTATCTTTGATGAAATAAAAACAAAATGTAATGAGCCTTAATTATTGTACACTTTAAATTCTAATAGAGGCCTTCATAGGAATTCCTTTCTAAATCCTGTTGGTGTTATAGGTCTCACTAAGATCTCCAGAGGCAGTCGTCACTCTGCCCATCTACATTGGGAACATTGCTGTGAACTTGTCTCCGTCGAGACCAATGCCCTCCACTCCAATCCACTGCGGCGCGACCATCGCACCCAGCGCAGCAGGCGTGACACCCAGCGCCCCGCCAGTGGAGGAGGAGCCAGATGAGGGGCTGTGTGCAGGAGGCATGGTCAGTGAGGAGATTCCTACCAAGAGTCACTCTCAGCAGGATCCCTCAGGTCAGCCAGTCACCATGTCCCCCAGCGCCTTTAGCCACGCTCCCGGCGCAGCCCTCCCTCCGGGCCACAGACGGCCCAACGCGTCCGCTCCCCTGTTCTGTGTGTCCACCGGGGCCACCATACCTTTCTTCACTGAGGGAAACGTGACTCCTGTCCCTACTTCCTGTTCTCTCATCCTCCCCCCAGAATACAGCAGCTGGGACTACCCTCACGGTTAGTTCTTCAAAGTCAGATTGATGATGATTTTACACAAGTCCGTCATCCTTATCACAGTCGGTGCTTTGAATATCCTTTTTGTGTATTCACCACAATCAAATCAAGTGATGAGTTGTTCAGACTCTAAAACCAGATAAACCCTGGCTGATGTTGAGTCGGGAGTCAACTCTTGTGATAGTGCTGTTACATGTCCTTCCTAATAGGTAAACCTTAAAAAGACAAACACAAGTAATGTCACAATCGCCTGGCTCAAATCACATGTTCAATAATAGCACACTGGAGCTGTCATATCTGTTAAATATGGGTACTTGTGAATCCTGCAAAATTCTCTAATGCAGTTTTCTACTCATGCATAAGTCCTGAAAATGGCATGAAAAAATATTAGATATGATGTAGGTATATAAGACCACACGTCCCCAAAATGGCTGACAGTTCTGGTGACAGAGTATAGGACACCAGTTATGTTTTGTAATGCAGTGAGTACACCCTTTAAATTTAAATTGTATAAAAAATGATATGTAAGAGTACTAAACCAGTGAATTACAACTTGAAATATGAACTTTGAGTTCATCAAATGTGGTTGCTGAATCATTCACTATTAGTTCACAGTAACCCTATAATAATTCTAAATAATGCCGTTATTGTTACAGAAACCTGTCTTCACTCTCACTCACATCAAAGCTGAAAAATTTCAAAACCACATTACACCCAGATTGGGGTCAGATTGATGGTAAAAACATGGGTTCATCCCACATCACTGCCTGACTGAAAGGGTGTTAGTATGAAGACTCTAGAAAACCTTTGTTTGTTACTCATCTTGATTAAAATGATAAAGCTTTCAAAATTCATTGTCCAGTACAGTTGCACAATTCTCGTTTATGTTAGAATTTGGACAGAAAACCCTATGAACATGTTTAAACATTGCACACAGACTGATATCTGTCAAAATTTATATGAAAGAAACCCTATATGACTAAATCTATTGATTTACATGCACAGGGCTTCAACTATATTACTGACTTTTGTGTGTTTTTGTGTTACAGAGCCCCCACCCACTTATGAGGAAAGCTGCAGTAGCGCCAACTCCAGTTTCAACAGTAGACAGTAGAGAAGAAACAGGCGTAGGCATCATGGCCCCGCCCACCCACACCTGTCTGCACTCGCCTCTTGACAGAAAATCAGGACACAGACACTGGGTTAAAAAGGATAGACTACGGATCCACCCTTGAACACCCCAAAGATTGTTTCTTTGTCCTCTAATGAGTAAAAAAAGGGATCATATCTTATATTGAATATAAGTTTTAATTTCACCTCATGTCCCAGCAGGTAGTGTCAGACAGAACGGGTGAACATCACTGTGCCTAAAAGAAGTATTTTGGATCAGCATACAGGATTTAGAATATTTAGTGATTGGACATGTTTCTGTCACGGGGCAGGGTAAAATCACGGTTTGTCAGTGAATTTTTGCATCTGTGATGCCTTGAGAATAATTTCGGCCTACTGAAGGCATGTGTTTGACAAGATCAAACGTTGGCCTTTTTCACAGTCTTGTTCCAATTGTGCACTTGTTATTTTGGTCCACTGGTGTCTGTTTGTGTCTCAGTTGTCCCCATCATCAACAGGACAGAGCTGTCTTCATGCTGGATATTGAAAGGAGACCTTGTTGCCAGTGGTTGTGGCTTGTCTGTAAAACTATTTAAAACCCCTGTGTGTAGGATTTTTCTTACTCAACTAATCCAGTCAAAAATCTGTGAATTTTTAAACATAGTTTTTGTTGACATCAATCAACCATTTGGAATATTTACATTTTCATGTTTAAAAATTTGTTTCCAAACATGATCCTTTATGTTGAGAAAATGACACACAGAACTGCTCTGTTTATTGGAAGTGATAAGTGATCATCTCTGAACCCCCGCCCTGTGTTATATAACTGAGAGGTTTTGCTTTGACATCAGTTTTGTATTCAGAGGACAATGTATCTGCAGATGAAACTCATTTTTCCTGCAGCTGGATATAAGGACTGCAGCACTGATGCAGTCTTCCTCTGCCCTCCTGTGGTCATCGCTGGTACAAGCATTACCTCAACTTGTCTTGAAACTGGAGCTTAACATAGTCAGCCCTGCAAAGTGAAACACTTCACTGAGTCCCTACTTGTGTGTGTTGATCACAGCTTAGTGAGCATACTCTGAAATTTCAGTCTGTGCAGATGATAAACATACATGTGCACAACTCAGCACTTTTTACAGTTTGAGTGCGTCGGTTTCTGGGGGCACTCTGTGTGTGTGTGTGTGTGTGTGTGCTTGAGAGAGAGAGAGAAATAGAGCACATTTGAACAAGATCATAAGTTCCCCTTAGGTCTATTTTCACTCCAACTTTGTTTATGATTCAGCATTTGTGTTAAGTTGTCTATTAGAGACTTTTTTCTTTCCCTGTGTAGGGTTGGGTGGTAATTCAACATTATTAAGTTTCAGGGTAATCATATCGTGATCTGATCTTCTTACGTTAACATTCCCCAAATTTCTCTTGTCCAAATTAATTAATGTGAGCAAGTTGTAACAAAATGTGTTACTACACATATAAAAAGTTTGATCTCTTGGAACACAGTTAATCTTATATCTGATTTTGCATATTTCACTGACAATCTTAAGCACAACTGCTGTATTGAAAGTTTTTCTAACTATTGATGTTTGTCTTATTTTATACATGTTTCAATACAATCTCAATAGTCCATTCTGTGAATTTAGAACAGTGCTGGCTCCTGACTGCAGATCATATTGCCACTTGTTATTTTATTTTTTATTTTTTATTTAACTCTTAAATTATTTTGTGAGACACACCAGCTCTAAAATTTCCACAGACAAACTGCTTTTACTGTTAAAACCTGACAGTCACCCAAACTATGGTGTTCTGGCTCTACATTATTGTGAATGCATGCCTTAAACAATCTGGACTCCAGCCACCCCTTCCAGAAGCTTCTTCTCTGTCAGGGTGGACATCAGGATATGCTCGTGCAACTCTTCCTGCTTTGTCTCCTGTGGACTGTGCTAAGTGCACTTGATGTATACAAATGTAGCTTTTAAAAAAACAGCGAGGACACTGGACTTTAGACCTGTTTTTATTCTTATTTTAGAAAATATGTGCAATTCCTCTCATCTCCAAGAACGCTGCAGCAGCTGCAGCTCCGTGAAGTCACTTCATGTTGCCTTTATCAATCCCAATTTGTTGATTTGATTTCTTCACCACCAAAAGGTACTATAGCTTTATGAAGCCCCACTTGTTCTGTGTTTTTTTTTCATTCTTTCCCCCTCACATATTGATGAGTGGTGTCTGGTTTTGTATTTTTCTACTTGTAAACTGTTTACAGGTGCAGTATGCAGATACTAATCGTAGCACCTCAATCAGTAAGTGTAATATTTCAACTTGCAGTGCAGAATCAAAGTTGTACTGTACAGTATAACAATAAAATTATATGACGTGTTTGTCTTGTCGTATTTCAGTGATTAAGTATGATGATTTGAAACTGATTTCAGTTTAAAGGGCCAGTGTGTGGGATTTAGTGGCATCTGCAGAGAACAGACTGTGAAAAAACTTTATCTGGATCCTACATAGAATAATTAATATACAGAAGATAATTTTATCTATCTTTTTTAAATAAAAGTTCATGTTTTAAAAGAGAAGTATATACATATTGATGCCTTACAAAGAGATAACTGTAGCAATGTCTCCACAGCTGGCATTGGTAATGTAGTTTTTTCTTGTATTTGATAAAAACCAACATGATTTTATTTTTAGTCATTATGTTGGCCAATAAGTGTATACATTTACAATTTATATTGCACTACAACATATATAGAGTTCTTAATTAATGTTCTATGGCATCATCATAAGCTACCCGAAGTCTCTACTTGCTTTTTTGTAGTTTGACCACAAGTGTGCAGTATAGAGTAGTGTACAATATGCTCTGAAAGGAGACGTCTTCACTCCATCTGTACACATACTAAACTTGAGTGTTTGCTATATATTGCTGCATTGCCTATAAATATCATCATCTGTGATTTGTTCTACCAAGATTATTATCAGACAATTTGAAGTCTGAAGATTTGAGAGATTTGTCCTCTTTGGTTTTAAAGATCGCGACAACATCCTAACTGGTGATCTATTTCATGTTCCACACATACACAAAACATATAACAAAGAGCTGCTGGCGACCAGTGCTGCATGGAACAATCTGAATCAGAAATACTTTATTGATCCCTGGTGGGAAATGTGTTTGTTAGAGTTGCTCAAGGTGTTCACACAATATTAAGGAATAGAAATACTGTATTATATTACAATATATCTAGAAATAGAAAATGTGTGTATATATATATATATATATATATATACACACACACACTTACTAACTTACAAGTAAAAAAATATAACATAAGAGCCTTTGTATGTACTTTATAATACAATATATACAGTAAATGACAATATAGACAGAAGGACACATACATTATATGGATCAGTGGAGTATTACCAATCAGGCACACAGTCAACTGCTTGGACAGAACATTAATATATAAATTAAAAAGAACTGGGGACAAAAAAAAACCTTGTTTGACACTATTGCTAACCTCAAATGGCGCTGAGACCTTTTTATTTTTACAGTCTATGGCTGAGACACTATTGCCCATTGTACGTGCACAGCCTGGTGGAATACCAGAACCCTCACAATGTATAACAACTTTCTATGATTCACACGATCAAACGTTTGAAGCATCAGTACATAAAACACAAAACAACTGATTTTTGACCTATATTTGTTTACCATTTCCTCTAAGCCATATATATGTTACACAAACTAACAGTAATAGCAGTCTGAAGGACAGGTGTGTCCCCTACTTTTACAGTAAACGTTTTACAGCCGAAAACCTACGAATGACTTCGGTTACCTCCGTCTGTCACGTGATCCGAGTAGTTGTTGTTATAACCCGTGGTCCTGCGCATGCGTCGTATCTCTTGCCTATCAGCCGCATTCCTCGGGTAAATACGTGAAGCTAGCTAACTATTTCTATTTGGTTATTTACCTATTAAGTATTTGTCATTTGTACCTAAACCTGCTCCATGCTGACAATAATATTGGGAGTCACTATGTCATTATTTAGTCGAAGTGCTTCTTTGTTTCCAGTTGCTGAGAAACTCCACTAACCGTCAGCCCCTCTGTTCATGTTGTGAAGTCACGCGGTACTCCTAGCGGCTGCAGCCGGTCGGTGGTCGGTGGCTGCTCCTGTGGGGCGTTTAGTTTGAGAAATGGGCTCCTACTTCAGTGCACTCGAACAACGACTGTAGCCCGGGAAAGAGAGGGAATGGAGAGCTGGACTCACTAACTCCTGAAAGTGTGGCGTCAACCTGCGCTCACCAAGTTCACCATGATGTCTGTAAGTTGTGTGTTTGGAGTTCGTCATGAGTTTGCGTTTGAAATATTATCTATCTGTGTGTGTGTGGGGGGAGGGAGCATGTGCTATGGACTTTAGGGGAGCAGACCACAATAAACCCAGAGCAACATAATGAATGCGTATAACTCATAAAGACCTGTGAAATCTGTACGCTGCTGTTAAATTGTCCATGTAACCAGGGCTGGGCAATATGGCTGAAATCACAAACACATAAAACATAAACTTAATAATTGAGTTAGTTTTCAGCTGCAGTCTGCTGCTTGGACTCAGGTGCTACTGGTTCATCTGGACAACATCATTTTGTAAAACGATAACATGGTATAATCATGTGATCAAGATACAATTACAATTACAATTAATGTTTGATGATCTCACATTTCACCCATTCAGATCACATGTGCTTTACAGTGTTGTCTGGCATTTTCCAAAAGTGGACATTTTTTAGTTTTTTTTTCTAATTGTATTATGTGTTTTTCTTCCCTTCAGGCAGCCATGCATTTAAGTACAGTACAAGAAGTTTTCACTGTGTGATGCGTGATGTGTATAATCAGATTGTGCCATCTAATGTAATGTTAATGCACATGAGAGGTTCAAACTGGGGCTAATATTTTACACAAAAAACAGTTCTAGCTAGAATATTGTATGGTTGAAATGATTAAATGAAAATGAACATTTCAAGACCGCTACATGTTTGCAAGTTGTTTCACATATGCTACTGACACGAATGGCAACCAACAATGTGGGAAAAAATCTAGAGTCATGGTATTTTCTTGGAAAACGCTCTGCATGAATATACCAGAAAGTATATGTGCACTATAGCATGTTTGTAGTAGAAACACTGCTTTAGTGGTTTATAGTCTCAACATTCACCTGGACAACACACGTCAGGTTTTCTCAAGCGGTTTGAAAGATAAGCTTACAATGATCACCCTGCCGGGCCTCGCGTTAGATTGTTGACTCAACAATCTATATTTGACTTACTCTTGTGCACTACCTTGTGCCCTTTGTGTCACTATTACAGCGTGTTTGCACTATTTGTAGACTCTGTTTCTGTTAGGGAGGTTTCCACAAGTTTGACATAAAAAGAACTGGAGTTTAGACAACCAATAAACTGAGAATCACAATGAGCTGATAACTCTCACTCTTCTGCAGATCCAGCTTCTCCTGTCTTCCCGCTGTCCCATTTTTTTTTTTTTTTGCTATAAAACATAACATCGGATCTTATTTTTGTGCCCTCGATCATCATTTCTAAGAATATCATTTCACTCCCAAAGATAATCGCTGAGATTTGGGAACAGGGTGACATCACTGAAAAGAAGTCTGACAGGGCAAAAAACATGAGCAGTCAGACAGTCGCAGGTAGCCAGGTGTATCTGGAGGAGAAAACAAAAGGCGAACGATAAAATTATAACCCAAACTGATTATTGTAAACACACATCACAGTTTACAGACCAACTTCCTGGTGCAGTTAGGGAAGTGTGCATACATCTTTTGGTTTTACCTCCACATAAATAATGTTAGATTTTCTTAGATCCAGCTTAACTGGCTTGTTGACAATCTTTCTGATCATGTCACTGCTCCTCACCCTGATGGAAAAGCTCAAAGTGAGGCGGTATATCCTAGTTACATGATATGAACAACAAGGATGTCTCTCTAGGGTTTGTGTTTGTGCTTCACATGACTGGGACGGCCAACATAGACATCATGGACTACAACTTTGAAATATTTTATTAGTCTCAAAATGCACAATTAATTGAAATATCAATAATTGTTTATTTTATTGTTTGTTTGTTTTTTTAAAATGTGACAAAACAGCATTACAATGAATTAGTGCTGCAGAGATTCCTACAAATCTTGTTCTCCAGATTTAAGAGAACATTTGGTACAGACACCAAAAGTGGAACATCGTCAGGATTTTAATACTTTTTGCATTGAAAATAAAATTTGTGATGCAAAACTGATCATTTGCACTAATGAGGAATCATATCGCAATATCTGTCAAAATAATCGCAATATGCTGTGTTTTTATCATATTGTGCAGCCCTATTATAAAATGTAAGAACATTTAGAGAAATGCACCTTTTTCACAGCAGCCATTTTGACGTGAAATAGTCGGCGTCACGTGTGTTAGCGATGACACTAATTAAGGTTCCGTTCAATATAGTGCAGCAGAGCCTTTCCAGTGAGCCAATAGCAGCACCCTGAATCGAAGGGAATCACTATCACTGGTAACACCTGTGTTCACCCTGCTGTTTCATGTCAAAATGGCTGCTGTGGAAAAGGTCTATTGATCAAACCACTTAGAGCTTGTGGACCTTCAGCAGTGTGCAGCTGGTGAGAGACACTCATACCAGGACAGGTGGTGCCTGTAGCAGGGAAGAGGGGGAAAGAGCCTGGCAGGGAGTTACATACACATGCAAACAGTACATTCCTCTGTCAGTCACACATCTTCAGCCGCTGGGCAGAACAGAGAGTGCTTTTGTGGGACAAAAGGTCCTGTAATTGTGAGGCAAGGTCAGCTGAGTAGGTATTTGTTTGGAATGGCATAAATTGAATCCAAAAATTAGATGTAGAACAGAGGAGGTATTGAGGACGGTACCATTATAATTCTGCATGCACATAGTGTGAATTTACTACAGGACAACTACAAGAAACAGAAGGAGTACTTCTCAGGACAAGCAGTTCCAAATGGAAATGTAGATTTACTGTTTTATGAGGGCTTTTAAAGGAAAAAGTAGTAAAAAGAGGACAGCTTGCTTAGTAATTGTAATTAAAAACATTGAGTCATTGCAGCAGAAAATGAGGGAGGAGACTGATCTCAGAGCAGTGCAGTATCTCTCGCTGAGGTCAGCTGGTCCTGCATTAACCATGTTTCAGACAGTTGAGGCGGAGCTTTTAAACGTAAGATCAGCAGTCAACCAGCACACAGCCGCTTAGAGGTTTTAATATCTTTTTTCTTAATTTTAGATGACTTTTGGAATATCAAGCAGCGTGACACTGCTGTTTGACTTCTGGGACGTGCACGGTCCTGCAGGTAAGTTGCAGAGTGTCAAATGGCATCTCCACTTAAAACGTACTGTAGTTTTGTGTCAACAGACATTCCTGTTTCCTGATTGCTCAGAAGAAGTTTATAGAACATCTCATCAAACTCCAAAAAGTACAAATGTTTAGTGTATCTTTTCTTTATAAAAATACATGTTTGGAGCATACCCAGCATGCAAATGGACAGCCATGATGATTACACAGCAGGGACACTTCTAAGAATGATTAGATATACATTTTTTGGCTATGACATTGTATCTGATGTGATTTCAAGCAGACTACACCTGGCGTCCTCCACGAGTGAGCTTCCAGCTAAGGTGTGTGTGTGTGTGTGTGTGTGTGTGTGTGTGTGTGTGGTGTCTTTGTGTCTGCAGGGATGGTGCTGTCGGTGTTTGTGGTCTTGCTGCTGACGGTCTTCTACGAGTTGCTCAAAGTGTGGAGAGTGTGGCTGGGGAGGAGCTCTAAGCTGGCCCATCCTCAGTCTCCGTATTCTGCCCCCCTGCCCTACCGCACAGACAGCAGCTCCGTACTGGAGAGCAGCCCCTCCGAGTCCTCGCTGACCCCCATGGCGTCACACCCACCTGCTCTAAACACCAGAAACAGGTCAGGGTCATAGAAATATGGAAATGCAACTATGTGTAATATGTAATCAACAATGCATTTCTCCATGCTCATAGATTTTACTGCAAAATGTAAATAATGCCATATAAGATACAATAAATCCAGATAAAAAAATGCTTTTTGAAAGCAGATCTTCATCAAATGATTAGTGCAGTCCTAGAGGTCAGAAAATGATGGAATCCTGTTTCCACCAGTGAAAGGAAAAAACAATCAAAAGGTCCTAATTTTATCTCATAATTTTGACTAACCATAAGCATTTTAAAGTCATGATTCACT